GGGAGATGGGTGAATTGAAAGGTGGCCTGAATTTTGATGAGCGATGTACTGTAATATAGGCGTTCGGCAACGCTGCGCATGGGTGAAGTTGTAACACCGCGTGACATTTCACTGAGCTTATCTTCTTTCCTTCATCTACGTCGTTTTTCATCGCGCTCAGCGCATTTTTTCTCTCGTTCTCTTTTCTATCATTGAAAACATGTCTGACACCATCTCGGCTCCTCTCAGTCAACCCAACACAGCCGTTTCTCAGGTGCCAGACACGTCAGAAATCCCCAAGGTGGAGCAAGGCAGATTTCAGTGGGACAGCGACATGGATGGTATCGTTATAGCCGAGCTCAGCTCTCAGAAGGGTGCTGGGTTCATGGCCAGTAACGGTGGATTCCATACTGATGCATTCACCTCGTGCGCAGCCAAACTGCGTGAAGCTGGATATACTGTGAACTCGAAGCAGTGCAAAACCCGATATAGTACAGTATGTGATTGTTCCGAGCTAGTGGGTATCACCGGTACATGATCTGACACTCCTGTAGCTCAAGAAAGACTTCAAGGAGGTAAAGGATATCCGAGAGAAGTCAGGATTTGGTTGGGATGAGCAGCGTGGAATCGTGACAGCTACAGTAGATGTCTGGGATAAACTGCTGCAGGTATGCTGAATGAATTACCTCAGCTTGTATAGCTACCTATATTCTTTTCTAGTCAAAGCCCAAGTTTTCCCGCTGGAAAAACAAGAGTTTTCCTCATTACGATGAGATTTTTTCCCTTATCTCCAGTTCGGTTGCCACTGGTGCTTCCGCCTTTCATCCTGGTGCTCGTAGTGCTGCCGTAACTGCAGCTACTGAGCCTCAGAGCACTGGGAATAGTGGCGAGAGCACTGATGATGAACGAGAGGTGGGTGTACATCTGACATGCCCTGAATTCATGTACTGACTTTTTACAGCCTTCACCCTCTCTTTCTGCCAGTCAAACACCTCAGACTCCCCATCCTGCTGCTCCCACCAGTAGCTTGGAATCAATCTCACGCAAGCGTGCACCTGCATCCCCAGACATTGGTTCTCGACCTGCCAAACGTGTACATAGCCAGAAGGTGAGGCAAAGTGATGCTGGCTTTGAGATGGCAGAGGCATTGCGGGATATCGCACGCAGTGCAGCGGGTGAGCCGGTAAATGCTGCTGTTCTTTCTCCTGCCCGTCGTGAACGCGCAATTCAGTTGATCGAGGCTGATGAGCAGCTTTCCGATTCCGAGATGACCGAGGCTTTCAAGCTTGTCCGACGTCAGACTAGCATTGGGGATACCTATCTCGCTATCAAAAATTTGTCACGGCGTACCAAATACTTGCAGTCAGAGATATATGCGGCCCAAGCAAAAGAGGATTCTTTCTCCAAATTCTAGTCATTGATACACCTTGATACTACATTCTTTTCTCTACATTATAGCCTTTAATTATTCATTTTCAGATTGCATAGCTAGATAGTCTTGGTACTCATCCCAGCACTCCTGTGCAATTCTATCCCGTTTTGCAATCGCTCTGTCCCTCTCCTGTGCACTGATATGGTGCTGATAGAACTCGGCTGGTACAGACCGCTCAGCATTGACATCAACATCAACAATTGAAGCAAGCTGGAAGATCTCATCATCTGGATCATGAATTCGAATGAAGTTGTGAATGGCAGCAAGGGCAGCAGGAATTCGGGCTTGAATGTGAATGGCATACTCAGGTACTGTTTTCATGATGCGGAATCGTCGCTTGAGCACACCGAACACACGCTCAATCACATTTCGCAGTTGGGCATGCCGGAGATTGTACAACTCTTCGCGATTGCAAGGTCTAAAATGAAAATGTTAGCAGAGAGCATACAGAGCTAGATTATGAGATATAACCTCTGATTGCTTTTTGACCATTCCTTGAGATGATAGCGTTTTCCTCGAAAAGGAACCATGCATGTATCACATAATGGAAATCCAGCATCTCCAAGAAAATACCGGTTTTGTGGTATCGCAAGATCTGTCTCCCGGGCAACTTCCCATAAATGGCTATCTGCTGTACTTCCTTCCCATCCTGTCAGCATATAACAGAGCTGCATATTGAAATCAGTTGCAGCTAGAATATTCTGAGAAATGCGCCCCTTTCGACTGCGGTAGCGATCCATATCTTCATCTCGCACAAAAGCATCCTCCAAGGAGCCATCAATTGCAGCAAGACAGTCACGGAATGGCTGGTAGCGGCGATCTTGGGCTATAATTTCTGGGGTTGTGTCCTCGGGAAGATGCACATACTTGGTATAGAAGGGTGCACTGCATGCAATTTGAAGGATGCGGTGAAATGCTTTCGATATGGTATCAGCACTGCACTGAAAGCGCTCCTGAGCTTCACGATTTCCTGTCCCAAAAACCATCAACCGCATGAAAATGCTGACCTGTTCTTCAGCAGTGACATATCGTGTATCCCGAAGACCAGATTTGCGGAACTCCTTCACCAATGTCTGAAAAGTGGCTGTCGACATCCCCATAGATTCTTTGCACCTCCGAGGATGTCCTAACTTGGATCAGAATAAATCTAGACATGCAGGCTCTATTTACAAACCTTGCATGAGCTCATTAATCCACATTTGTCCCGTGAAGACTGAATCGTGCACTCGCTTTGGCTTCTTGATGAGTCCAGGCAGTGATGTCATGAAATAGGCTGCAGTCATAGCAGCAATTGTTGGAAGGGATTTCCGAAGCTTTTCAAGCCGTACATGGGTAGCAGAGCGATTAGCAGAACTCTGGGCTCTTGTTCTGACCATTTCGGAAAAGAAAAACGGATCGATAACAATGCTACGGCTGTATTTTATCATTGCGAGACACAGTAGTAACATGTGACTATCTGTGACTACACGCGTTCAAAGGTCCGATGGGTGCGGACCTGGGTGATTTCAACTTCACCTTCACCCTCACCGAAAATGGTGACCTCACCTCGGTTCCCGAACAGGGCCTAAATCTCTCGCATGGCAAGCTCGCTTATATATGAACATCGAGACGACCCTCATTCAGGCAAAAATTTCTCTTGATATTTGCACAGAAAAGACATTGGGCTCGGACTCTTGCGCCAGTGATTGCGGGAAAGTCTGTAGGAGCTCTATTAAGTATATGGTAGACTGAGAGTGTCAGGGCCAGCTTGTGAAGATCATGTAGAACACGTATCTAGTCAGGTTGAATACGCGACCTCGTGGGAAACGACCCCTTTCTTGCCCTTAAGTTTGCCTGCCATTACCTCTCATTTCGCGCAATCCCTAATCCCTCACCATTGTCATCGTTCACTGACACTTGGTCATCTATATACTACTCTTGACTACGCTTTAAACTGTTTTGTCGACTCCTATAATCAACAGGCACAAAACAGCGACGCGTCAAAATCTTCCTCCTCGATTTCTCTTCTTATCTGGCAAATAGTGCGCTCTTCACTCTTCTTTGACGCGTTTAGGACCTTGGTGACGAATTTTTGCTACCTGTATAACAAGAATACAGACCAGTTGTGCGATGGTGACCACTGGACTGTCACGGTTTCTTCAAAATCATGGACATGATGTACTCAGAGAGACCACTTTCTGGGATATGGGTGTTGATACTGTTAATGATGGCCATGATGCTGCTGACTGCAGGCCTAAGAAACGGGCGCGGACTACTCTGACCATCTCCGACGTGAATTCGTGTTCCCCGGTGCGTGTGGCATTCAAACATGATTATCTCTTTATTCGTAGCTCGGATGGCTAATTATTCATATAGCACTTTCCTCACAAGACTGATTATCAAGCACCTGTCGAACATCCAAGGCATGCTCCGCTAGTAGTGAACGTATCCGGATCGTGCTCGCAAGCCACTCATGCGCTGTTACTGCGCCCCATCAAGGCATTGCCACTACGTGCAGTCAATACTCTTTCGAATTCGAGCCCAAGCCCTCCTACCTCCAATAGTCATTCCAACAGACCACACCAAAACACTCAAAACGACTTAAAGTTTGTCGTTCAACCGATACTGCCAAGACCACCACCACCTCCGCGATACTCAGGAGACTTTAATCTATTCTTGACCGCCTCTACCTTGATACCTTCAGACTTCTCAAACGTTTCTAGGCGACACGAGTCTGACTTCACTGAAGCACTTTCAAACGATCATTATTGGACCTTGTGCAGAATTCTTTCGGATTCTGGGCACACTGTGGTAACCTCGCCCACGCCAAATGCACGATGTTCTCTTCCTGATCAGTCCGACCGTATACCCTTGTCAAGTCTCAACGGAATTCATGGATACGTCCAGTCCGATCTAATCAGAGATCCAGCCAGCAATGAATGCCTCCGAATTGGATTACATGACATACGAGAAACTGTCGGCGGAGACGAATCTTCCTCATCTACATTGCGCCGTAATGGCTTGGATGTTGATATGATGTTAACTGAGATGACATCCTCATCGTCATCTGCCTCCACCTCTTCACCGACTCCCGTTCCTAGACCACGCCTCTGTGCTGGCGCATGTGTTATAGGCGACGGCTCAATCGGTGATATCGTTGATTCGTTCGGGGAGTTTGTTATTAGTAGAGTGTGGTGTGGGTTTACGGATGATGTCGATGAGGAGGGATGTAAGGATGAATGTAGACCGCTCGTCGAGGTGTTCCAAGGTCACCTTGCACTACGGGTTTTCTTTGGGGATGGGTATGTGGAACGAGGACATCCAGAGGTGGGAGATCATCGTTTTGAATTTTGGGCTGTGCGAAGTAAGTAGGAGTGGTGCTAGGGAAATAGAATGAGGGAGGGAGTCGTAGCGGTAATCGAAGTGGACATAGACAACATGGGACTATACATATACAAACACTATTTTTTGCAGTAGTACAATGATATCTCAATGAATTGACACTCAGGTTTGTTGCGGGTAGGGGATAAGTTAGAAATACGCGAGGTTGTATTTTGAAAAAAGAGCAACAATCTAACAGAAAAGGGATATCCCCACAAAAAAGAAAGAACTCCCTGGCTGGGAGTCGAACCCAGCTTTCGCGCGGCAAATCTGTTATGTTCCCTCATGACAGGCGCGTGTACTAACCGATATACTACCAGGGATTGATCCTTTTCTACTTCAAGTACATTATCAGTTTCCAACGGCCCTCTGCTGCCCAGTTGTAAAGGGAAATGTAAGTAGAGTAAGAAGCCGGTAAGCAACTGTGAATATTCGTTCAATGTCTGAGGCTACGGTAAGCAGATGGAATAGTAAAAAGTCGACCAAAGATAAGGTCGTTACAAAGTCATTCAGGTGGGTCCTTCATTTGGACACCCAACCATAGTGTTGGGTAAAGTCTAAACAGCGTATACAAGAGGTGAAGACTTGATCAATATGGACATCAAGTTGGACTACGTCGAAAGACCATGCCAAGCGAGAGTTGACAGGTAAGGAGGCTGCAGCTTTCGTGATCCCGGGTGGGACCATGTGCGATGAGATGATGCTGGTAGATAATCCATCATTTGAGCAGCGGGGGGCGATATGGGTTGAATGCTCTGTCGACCCTTTCTCGCCACTTGAAAATTTGTTCCGAGGTGCTTGACGATCTTGTACATATTCTGTTCTCAGAAATGAAAGCATCGTTTTGATATTGTTCGTGACACAGCGAGAATTGTGAATTGTTGCATACTCTTGCCTCTTTCAAGTTTGCAGCGCGTCGATAATCCCTGTGACCGCCCTCTTTAACGCAGTGATCTTCTTGCGATGCTTTGTACTTGACCCAAATGGAGGAACGAGCGAATTCGACCGCTCCCTGCGCTTCCATGCATTTCAAAAAAAGACCAGAAAAAAAATCGACGCTCGCAAAATCCTATCGACGAAAGTTTAATCAACTCGATTCGAGTTGGCAATCCTGAAAAGTCAACAAGCAGAATCCGAAGGTGAGTCCCCGTATAAATACTATGTTTTTTTTTTTTTTTTTTGTGGAGCGTTAGTGTTTTCTAGACCGATGACAAGGTCATCTTCTGTCAAACCGCTGAGGTCGCAAGGCATGCCGAGCTATTAAGAGACACCACATGGGGGAATGCATTACGCACTGGGTGTCAAGACACCCGCGTGTGGGACTCCGAGACTGACAGTATCATATGAATCTAAAAAGTTAGTTTTGTTGCGGATAAGCCAACTCCGTCAGCTTATCTTTCTACTTACCTGTACTCACCCCATGCCAGTTCGTATACCCACTAAAACCCCACTCTCCCCCATCCAGTTCTCGGGGAGATTGTCTTTTTCTTCAAGAATTTCGGACCAGGTACATTTGACGACTTTCTGGTCTAGACATCGTTTTGTTAGTCGCATCTTAGTCATGAGACAATCTGTCTCCAGTCGACTTTCTATCGTTGTTTTCCATCTTCGCCGAGCTTCAGCACTGGATACTTCTTTCCCTTGAATCACATCCTCGCATCGTATTTTCCATATTAGATGTGCCGCTTCAGATATTAGTATGCGGTATAGTCGTGAGTCTCCGGCTAGGTGTTTCCCTTCCTGGTTGGTTATTTTGATGAGCCCGCATCCTATTATCGTTCCGAAGCAAGGTTCTATCCACTTCGATCTTTTGTTTTTCCACAATCTCTCAGTCAGGGACCAGATTAGTTTTTGGTTAGAGTTCTCGCATTCCGTCAGGATGTGTTCCATTGACTCGATTCCTCCGCACTTTGGGCAGTTTGCCCGGTGTTCAAAGGTTTGAATGTTTCGCCAGTATTCCCCCGTTTTATATCCATCGTGGGCTGTCATCCAGATGAAGTACCGGTACTTTCGGGAGAAGTCCTTATGGCGGAGGCTTCTCCAGAGTAACTTGTCGGATGGTTCTATTCCCTGTAACTCGTTTATCATATACTTTGCTCTGCCTATGTTTATTTTTGTTGCTCTTCGGTTCAAAGCCTCTTGGTATGTCTTTTTCATCATTTTGTGTCTCCGTATAGCTTTGTATGCTAACGCTTGTGTCATTCCTTTCAGTTTCGCGCCGGTTAATTTTAGGGTTGGAGGTATTACAAGTTCAACAGCATCTGCTTGTTCTTTTTGACAACCTTCTTTGGCTAATCCATCCGCTCGTTCATTTCCTTCGATGCCTGCATGTCCTTTAACCCAGCTGAATGTGGTGGGAGCATCTCTTTTCCGTAGCGTTGCTATTGTTGCCTGGTATTCTTTATGGTTTGCTACTCCGATAAAGCCAGTGTCTTCCCATTTTTGGCGGTGCTTTGTGAGTCCCTCAATGCTCGTTTTTGAGTCTGACAGGATTAATAGGTTTGCATTGGGCTGGACTCCCTCGGCAGCTTCTTTAATGCTTATGATCTCGCCGGATTGGTTTGTTTGTGGGATCTCGTTTGGGAGGCGGATGGCCCTGTTGAGGTCCTCGTTTGATGGGCAAAAAATACCTGCTCCTGCCTTCGCATTGTCATTTCCGTTGTTTGTGCAGGATCCATCGGTGTATATTATCACCTCATCTATATCCTCGTCACGTTGCGGGTGTGGATCAGGTAGGTTATTTGTGGTTGTGCCTTCTGTAAAGATACGGAATGCATCTGCAAGGGTCCCTTTGGTTGTAACCCGATTTTCGAAGGTTACTCCATTTTCTGGGTGTTCGTGAGGTTCCCACTTTTCGTCATCGGGTTGCTCTATGAGTGGATTCCATTTTGGCGGCAGTAACTTCAAGATATCATTTGCTCGGGTGTAACATTTAAATGGGGATTGGCAATGTTTTGTTCTTGCTGCTTCGCATTCTATGCATCTACAGTTCCGTCTCCGGCAATGTCGTGCCCCAGCTAAAGGGTGCCCTTGCAGGACCCACCGTATAGTCAATACCGTGCCGTGGAAACAACATGAGCCATAATCATCATTTCAGATGATATGACCGGCGGGGGATTTTGTCCTCTCGGGCCATGTTAGGATACTAGCCATAACATGCCACGGCCCACTCTGTAATGTGCAAAGAACCAATTCACACCAGAGCTTCCCGTTCCCCTCCTAGTGCTTCGTTCCAGGCCCTTGGCAGCCTGCACGGATCCGCAATCTAGGAGGAGTCCACCGCCTTGCCACAAAGGTGTTATTTCTCACCATCTTGCTTTTAGGTCTTCGCAAGTGTGACTAACCACCTTCCTGTGCCAGAGGTCAAGACCAACTAGAGGAGGCTGAGGGTGCCCTGTAGCCATATTGGCTTCGGGTGGTTTTTAAAAGCATTCCCCTCTATTATAGTCGCCTGTCCAAAGGAAACTGGACCCTTTTACGGGGATTTGGCACAAAATAGTTTATAATGGTCATTTCGGACAGTCCAGTCGGGCACGGAATGTTCCATTGCTTACTTCCTTTACCAAGGGAAGACCCGTAGGCACAGCAGTTTAAGACGTCTTGCTTCTTGTCAAAAGACGGACGCGGAGTATACTCACCCCCAAAGTCAAACCAAGCTGGGACTCCAAAAAGCTAAGGTCGGCTGGTATCTTCGGAGCACAAGACGCTGCAGGCTCCTCATCAGCCCCCAGCGTTTATTAAGCATATACCATTGGTACAGCTGATGTCATCCAAGACATTACGAGTTTACAGTCATCTGGGACCCCCGATGCAGTGCAGATACCTCCACATCCAACCACCTTTACTAAGGGTGAGCTGACCAGGTAGTTTACTGTCTTTTCGGACTCGAAAGTCAGGCCTTACCATCTGTCAAATTATCCTCCTTTGCTAAGGGAGGGCCTACCCCGATATTTTAATGTCTTCTCGGACACGGAGTGTGAGTTGGATCACATCACCCCCATGGTATAAACCATGGGACTCCTTACCAGATGAGTGTACCCAACTGATACCATTAGACTGCTTTGCCAAGGCAGACTCACCTGTAATTTACTATACGTCTTTCCCCGCAAGGGTACTGGACGTCGGGAGAGCCCCACCATGTGTGGAGTTGAACAACCTTTGCCAGGGGTTGACTCACCACAGAGTCACATATGCATGTCCACCATAAGCTGGGGAGCCACGCCATCTGCGAATTTAACAACCTTTGCTAAGGGTTGACTCACCAGCAATGTCACATGCATACATGCCGCTGAAGTACATCCGGAATGAGGACGAAGCATCCAGCAGAGAAAAAGGTCAAGAAAGGCCGAAAGCATACATCATTGCAAGCATAACAAGGACATAGCCTGTTTGTGTGTAGCGAAGACATGTATGTACCCTACTTGAGTCTCTAGCACCTGCAATCCTTGTTTCAACCAGCCACGTAGGCGTCAACAGGCGTGGGAAACTCGGAGGTGGTGGAGGTACGAGATCAAGAGGCGGCCGTATAAATACTATGTACCTGGGGCTGAGATGACTATTGTTCGTCGCAATGACCATGGTATTTGAAAATTGATGGAGGGTCCCTTCCGTCGTCGCTCTTGCTCGATCGATTGATTATTTCTCTTAAATTTTCCGCTTCGAACTCATCTTAAATCGCTGAGCGTGGTTTATATTCTCGTCTTGCTCCCAACGTATTGAAGGAGGATTAGTTGAACCGTAGACACTGTCGTGGCCTTCTCAGAAAATGCCCATGCACAGAATCGAAAGATAAGCTTGGGTTTTTATTACTCGTGGGGGGATAGATTTTCGAGAAACAAACAAATTCACAAGGTTAGGCAGACAAAACGTGAAGATCATCTTGACCCCCCCGGTCAAAAATACAACCAGCAGTTGCTCCCTGGCTGGGAGTCGAACCCAGCTTTCGCGCGGCATCCTAACGATACACAGAATAGGTCATGACAGGCGCGTGTACTAACCGATATACTACCAGGGACTTGTTTATACCCGTTCAACTAGGTTTCTATAATTGTACTCAGGTACATATTACCTTCCCACTGTAAACTTGTATGCTCTATCGTACAACTGTACCAAAATCTCCCAACAACAGGTTATCTATCAGCCTCGTCCTATCAACCCACATTGCCCCGCTCAAAATCACCGGAGCAGCCTCATTACCTCTCGACGAACGCGTGTCAGAGTCATCCAGGATCTCGAAGGTTCCAGCGTCGTTCATCTCGATATAGTCAAGCGTAATCTCCACGTCCAATCCATGATCGCGCGCTTCTTCAATGCGCCGTTCAAC